TACTACAATTATTGTAATTAGTGTTCAATGGACTCGATGGATCGCTGCGGTTCGTCACTGGGCAAACGTGATAAGAGTTATTAAGCGGACAGTACACTAGGGCGTGGCTTCGCCTGATGGTGGTCAGCCTGACTCAATGCAGAGCTTATTGTGGAATTCCTCTGTTTACGCCGCAAATGAGAAGTGATAATAAAAGAATCGCAATGCTCTGTAGCAATTTGTTGGTTCATTGCTGGCTACGACCCATCACTGATACGAGTGCAAGGAAATGTATACATATATATGTATGATCTATGGCTCGTCAAGTTGATTACCTACTGACGGACTCTCGGAAAATGTATATGTATTTCAAAAGTAATAAAAAGGTCTGACAAATATTTATTTATATGTAAATATACATGGACTCCTAGTATTGTACACTCACAGAAATCTGTATGTGTATATGAAAGAACTACTCGAAAAGCTACCAACACTATTAATAGCAGGTTATCCAGAATATATATCTAACATGTCCAACTTTGAATGCAAAAAGAGAAATTTCAATTATACGCTAGTCAATTATATGACTGATTCCAGGAAACATCTTAAGAATACATTAAAACGAAAAGAAATGAATACTCAAGTGTTCTAGCATGCTATATAAATAGATTTCTGGATACATATACATATACATATATATCAAGTGCTGGCAAGTGTTTCTACAGCTGAGCTTTGTTACAGCTAGCTGGGAATTAGCTTAATCATATATCCATAATACATATATATACTTGGCAAAATTATGAGTGGTTATTATTCTTTATTATTTCGATAGTGGGTTATCTGGCGTGGGCGAACAAAGTATCACTCCTATATACATATACGTTCTTTATAAATCGTATCCAGTTTCATTATTATATGGCGCAGTTAACACTTAACAAAAGCAATGAAACACAGTCGCGTCTTGGATGGCGATATCAAAGTCTGAGGCGCAAATGTTTCACAGCGAAATGGAAATTTAAACCCTTAGCAAAGGCAATTATTAATGAAAACTATGAAATATTTAAGTAAACAAATGTTGCGAGAATACAGAAACTCTATAGTCTATAGTCAGCCCACTGCTAAAGTTCCCTTTCTTACAGATAGATATAGACAGCTTCTACTCAGATACCCATACCCATAGATATTACATAAACAAATGTGCTGTACTCTTCACATATCTTATTTACAATACATTTTCTGCTTACATTTTGCTTAATTTTCTGTATTTACAGAAATTTTGTCATTTAAACTCCATAACATTCAGTTTGGAGTTTTATCGTGATGACTTGATGACTTGTTGTGCGCAGTGCAAAGTTACAAGTTTTTGTTTTTGTCACACGTCAACCAGAAATGCAAAGTGTGTAATCTGATATTCGGACTCGCTCGGGCATTTGTCATTAGCAGATCTGCCAAGTGAGCAGAAAATTGAAAATTGAAAATTTGTGCAATCAAAACAAAAGTTTCGAGCAGTAAGGGTGCTCCAGTCGAGAGTACGCGACTATGAAATACCCAGGCATTGGGAAGTGCTGGGCTAACTGCGCAGTTTGCACTATGTTATGGAATCTTATTTGTTGAATAGCCTGGCTATATCGACTCAGCAGGTCGTCGTGATCAAGATTATATATACTTGGTGGGTTTTGCCTTCTCCTTCTATCTAGTACCAACATTTTCAAAAAAACATTATACCTTACCTTCCATTTCCAATTTATTCAGGTTGTAGTCAGAAATTTTCCAGCGAAGAAATTCGCAATCGATTCTTGTAAGTGAATAGCCGTTGTATTAAGATTATTATTACACTCATCGATTGGGGCAGATATCAGCTTTTGATAACGATTATGATTTTGTGAAATGGTAATGGCAAATAAAGCCTTGCACTTTGTAAGAGTTTACATTATACTAAGTCAGGTGTGTCTGGGGCTCATAAATCCGTATATTTATTTACAACATGTATATCAACAAACTATAAAACTGATAAGTGAGCAATATATACATATATGTACATATAGCAATGAGTAATTGTATCAGCTTATTTCTTAAAGTGCGTTGCACTTTACCGTTACATAGGCCAGCTATAGTTGCACTCTAGGAAATTGAAATAGTTTGCCTAGCAGAATTTTCACTTAAATGTTAATTATTTACTGTTGATTGTTTTCTGTTTCATAAACACAGAAATTGAAATGAAATGGGGAATATCAGTGCACTTGAGAAAAACGACAACTGCATGTTTCATATTGGAATATTAAGACCTGAAATTGCTGTTTATCGTTGATTGAATGCAATTCCCGCGTGAAATTAATTCACATCATTATCGAAACCAAAACAATTGGATTGAGCAACAAGCATGTATATTATAAATATACAAACGTATATATGTATTTTCACATACATACATAAACATATACATGACTTCAAGCTCTAAATGTATTCATACTGCAGCTGAAAACTGGTTATGATCTTCATTGAAGGCATTCCAGAGTGACGTCAGCAGCTAAATAATATAATATTAATGACAAAGTAATGCCATTATTCATATATATGTACATATATACACCATATATATGTTTGTATGTGCCTATTCTAATCAGAATTTTTTGAGGGGAAATCACAAATTTTTAAATTGTTCAAATCAGCGCATATAAACACATGAATATATTAATAGCCGTTCATGTGTATGTGCATGTATCTCAATGTGTATGCGAGCGTATGTACATACATATACATATGACTGCATTGAATTGTATAAACAGTTGGAAAAGTGCTAAAAACTTCCAACAGGCGGCCGCATAGCGAAGTAAATTGCGAGTAAATTGGCAAATAGCTGAGAATAAATCTTACACAGAATACAGAATACAGAAAACACACTACAGTTATATCTCGTATAAATTAGACTAAGGCTGTGCTGTTGTTGTAGTCTAACAAAAGCCAGCTGTTAATCGTCCTAAGTGTTAAGCTCATGCATTCACATACATACATAAATACATAGATATCCATTAGTACACACAGGCACACGCACATACAGATGCATATTTCTCTTCAGGCTGGATGCAAACGACTGAACTGCTCGAGACGACTCTACATACACATGCACAAAGTCTATGTATGCTCATTATTCAGTGGGCATAGGGTATGCGACTGCTGCTGCTGCCCACATGGTGGCGGTTGCATTTAGTTGACAGATTACTTGATATTGCCTTTTCTCTCTCTCTTTCTATCGTCTGCTTAAGCAGCAACTGAGGCTGCTAAAGTGTGACAGATGATTATATGCGGGCTATGCAAAGGGATGGATAACTGCGACCAAAAGAGAAAGAAAGTCTATGTTTTAGCTGCGCTTCGCTAAGACGACATATTTGCAACTGCTGGACGCTTTCTACGCTGTCGCTTTGAGTGGGAGCAGCGAGCAAAGAACAAAGAGAAAGACTATAAAACGTAAAAGCGAAAACCAAAAAGCAAACCGAAAAACAGGTTTTAAGTCTCTTTAAAGCGCTCAGCGCACAAAATAAGAACGTTAATTGACACGCATACTACTGCGGGGACGATCCATAAACAAACAGACTCACGCACACACACACACAAACTTGCATACGTATGTACATATAGTGACAATACATTCGAAAGCCCAAAAGCTAACTGGAACTTTCGTAAAGCAATATCAACAACAACAACAACAACAGTACGCGTTACGAAAGAAAACAAAGCATCGGATTTTGCGTCGTTTGCTATTTTTGGCCAGGTTAATGGGCAAAATTGCAGATTTGAAATTAGTTTTTACCTTTTATTTTCCAGTTAATGAATATTCGAATAGTTGTCACTCAAAATAACCCAATGGAATGCACTCAATTAACACTCGAACTGCTTTACAGAACATGGTTTATTTTGATTCGATTTTGTATACACATTTATACACATGTACATATATATTTATATATTTGTACTCAAACTTGTTTTGGCACAAAATTTACTCATACACATACTCTAAAGAACACTTTAAAAACGCATAAAACCGTAGCGCGTTGAATTAAAAACCAATTTACTAAATTTAAATTAGCAGAATAATTGCATTTCTTTGCTAAGCTATATAAATCACAAAACGCAACAAACGCACCGAACGCACGCACCCTACAGCAAAGAGTGTTTACGAGAAACCACTGTTAAAAGACTCAGAAGCAGCGATTGCTGACTATCGATGTTGCTTTGTGGAGGTTGAGCATATAAAAACAAATTATCGATAGTTTGATATATTATGTTAAGACCACGATAGCTAACATACTTGGCTAACAGAAAATAAGTGCTCCGCCGACGCTGTGCTCCACCGAGACTGTATGTTAACATAAAGTGTTACAACTAAAACATCGCTCAATAACATAATGCTCCTCTAGTGCACTCCACCCAAACTTTATCTTAACGTAAACAGTGCTGCCAGACGGTCGTATATAAGATAGCAACCACTAACCAAACATTGTGAGTAAACCAAATCAGTTATGATATCTTTCAGATCGACCGACGCTAACTGAGAACTGTTTCACATTTGGCGAAGGTACGTATTGGACCAACTTGCATTTCCAAAAAATACGCGAGGATCTTTTTCTCATGATGTTCAGATAATTAAAAATTCATTTATAACGGCCATTAGAGATTATGGCTCTTGAATTCAAATTGCAGACTATATATCTTGCAGATGCTGCGGAATTCTGGTGGCACGTTCCTTTCTTCCAGACACCCGATCACAATAACCTGGAAAAGCTCAAACCTGAGATGCCCACTAATTAACTGACTAACTAGGCATATACATATATAATATATTTGTTATCAAAGGCCGAAGGAAGTTTAGTTTCTGTTACATTTTTGCACTTTATTAAGTTGTTCTCTTTTGTTTGTTCTTTTTGTTGTTGTCTCATTATTTGCTTTGCGCATGTTAACGTAAGAGTGTTTCAGTTAGAGTAAGAGCAAAAAAAATATGTACGAAGTTAATCAACTGTCTCACAAATATGGCAGCATTCCAAGGTTCTATTTGTATTTCCACGTGAATATACATATAAGTGTGTGTGTAAGTGTGTTTATGTATATGTTTCTTTATGATTAAGAACATACAAACTAGCAAGCAGCTTGCAGCAGGTACGTTGAGGCCTTGTTAATAAACCGTTTAAGACTATTATCTAGTTATATAGTTATACATATGTATATATGTACGTATATATAGACATGCGCCAGTTGCTTCTGTTTTCTCATATTAATATAACGATTATGATGCGTGGGCGCTGGCTAATGAGTATTCGTCATCGATTACATGTCATCGATCAGCCACAATCAGCCACTACTCATCGGTCGGCCCTCGCTGTGTAGTTAGATAAGTTCGCGCCGCCTTGGCTTCGGCCACTCAGTAGCGCTGGCTCTCCCGATCCGAGTATTTGCCGCTCAGCTTGCTAACCGAGTAGCGGTCCGAGTAGGCATCGTATTTGTCCGCCTTGTAGTTAATCTCTTGGGGCGTGTATCCAATGTTCTTCTGCCAGTGTCGCGTCCAGTAGAGATCCTCGTTGCGCACCTGCGAGGGCGTCTTCGCGTCCCGGCACACGTACACGCAGTAGATCATGCAGCCGATCAGCGTGAGGAAGCCGAAGATCAGGAATATGATGCCCAATACCCTGTAAAGCAAATAGGGGTAGGAATTGATGAGTCGTGGCTCGCAGTTGTCGGAGCTAAAGAACAAAGATGCTCACCAGACATAGACGGGCTCATAGAACTGCACCACAATCACAAAGCCCAGCGTGACGAGAATGAGCCCCAGATTGAGCAGCAGCATCAGGCAGCAGACGCCCTTCACGTTCGGGCAGAAGGGATTCGGCGCTGACATCGTCTCGATCTTGGCGCCACGCTTCGTGGTCGAGCGCCCGCTGCGGCCCGTCTTGGCGGTGCTGGCCACCGAGTAGACGCTGCGCGGAGCTCCACGGGAGACGGGACGCTGGCTGTAGCGGCTGAAAGGGAATCGGTTGTGAAACTCAAAGTCAAGCTCAGTCTCTCTGCCTGCCCACTCACCTGATCTCGGAGGGCGCCTTGTAGGCGGCACTGGTCACATAGATGTCGCTGCCCGCGTCCCCGGCCTGGTCGTAGCTCAGCGCAGAGGGCGCGCGCGGCGGCTGGCGTGTGGGCGGCGGACCGCTCAGCGGCCGCGGGCCACCGTTGTCCGGCGAGCTGGAGAGGCCCATCTGACTGTGGCTGTAGCTGTGCTGCAGGTGTTGCTGTCCATTCCCGTTGCGCCCCTTGCGCGACGTGTTGTAGTGCGACTGCGACTGCGACTGCGGCGAGATGCGCTCGTGCGCGATCGTATACTCCGAGTGCGCCCGATGCGAGTGCGAGTCGTCGCCGTCCGTTGAGTAGCCGCGATTCGAGTGCACGTACGGCGGATCGGGCGTGAGCCGCCCGTGTGTGGCCACATAATGTCCGCCCTTCAGTCTGTCAAGTGGATTTATTTATATGGATTTATTCGATTCTCTTGTTAGGGAGGAATCTCGTCTAGCTTTACGGCTTAACTACGTACTTGGGCTTATAACATGTATATGCATGTATTTTCTAGCTTATGTAGATATGTCTCACTCTCTTCAGTTTCTCTTTCTCTCTCTCTCTCTCTCTCTCTCTCTCTCTCTCACTTTCTTTCCTATCCCTTTCGTTAAGAGTCTGTCTGTCTGCCCTTTTTCTTCGTATCTATCTCGTTGTCTCTCTGTCTCTAACAGTCTATCTTTCTCTTCGTATCTATCTCCCTCCCATTCGCTCTTTTTCTATCTTCTTCTTCCCTTTTTATCTCCCCGCCCTTTCTCTACCTTTTACACTCTCTCTCTCTCTCTTCTGTATCTAACTCTCTATTTTCTATATGCTCTATATGACAATTACCTAATATACGACTGACGCTTATCTCATTCCTAGCTCATCTATCTCTCTCTCTCTCTCTCTCTCTCTCGTCGATAGCCTCTAGTGGTCAACATTTTAACATCAGCTAATCAAAGTTATTTAATATTCTTACTTTTTGACGCGTCTCTCGTGCATTTTGCTTGATCTGTGTGCTGCTCCGCTTTGTCTGCTGCTCGGCTCCTGCTTTGGCTTTGACTTCAGTGTTGGCTCTGGCTCTGGCTCTGGCTCTGGCCGCTCTGGTCTCGTCTGTGGGTCTGTCTGCTCAGCTGCGGAGCGTTGTTGCCTTTAGAAAGTCCCACGATAGCTGCGACTGCCTGCAAAACAATCAAAAATAACAAAAAGCAGAGACGTTGAGATTCGTTGCAATTAACTAGCGTTTTGCTGCTTGCAAATTAGTAGACAGTTTTCAACTTTTAATTAGTGTGCAAAAAGTTATAACTGCGTTTTATGCCAACATGTGTGAGTGTGCGTGCGTGTGTGCCAAACTATATTTAACAAACGTTAGGTGCACAATTCGTATTCAATTTGAGCAGCTGTGCCAACCGAAGATAGCCAACTTTGAGTTGATGCACAGCAAATTAGCAAAAAGTTTATCAAATTTGAGGTTATGTTGAAGTGCTTTGTTTAAGCGCAATCTCTCTCTCTCTCTCTCTGTGTCACTCCCTCTTGCTTTTTAAGTAGAGTCGCAAAACGTAATTAACTCAAATATTTTCATAAATTCCCTTTTGGTAAAACTTTACTAAAAGTTGACAGCAGCAAACTGACCGAAGGAGATAAATAGAGAGAGAGAGAGAGAGAGAGAGAGAGAGAGAGAGAGATAAAAAGAGAACTTTAAATCTTCTACATATATAAATATGCTTCCGATAAGCTATTGAATTGCGAAATTGAAAAGCCTTTTGAGTCGCTGGCCCGCATCGGTCAGCCAATAAATTTGCTACTTGATAAAGCAAAACACGCCCCGATTTAAATGTCAGCTTTATATATATATACATATATATGTATGTGTATATATATTTTTTATTATTATTTTGATTACTTTTGTACCCTGCAGGGAATGTAGGTGCAAGCAAGCAAATATTGGTGTGCTGCATTTCCTATATCTGGAACTAATAATGTCAGACATAGAAGAGTTTCGACTATTTTCATTAAAAATATCTCATGTAATTTTAAGTAATATATTACTTTCTTATGATGTACAGAAATCATAGAAGAAATCAAATACTATGAGAAATCTCGAGAGTAGAGGAAATGATATAGAAATTCATATTGAATCTGTGGAAAATATAAATCAAGGCAACTATAATGCCCTCACGGGGTATAAGCTGGTCAAGCATACTAAATTATAGCGTACATGCTTTGGTTTGCCTTTAAAATGCGTTTTTAGGAGTGTTACATATATACTATAGTACATATATACATAATATGTATGTATATATATAATATGTATAAAAATATTTATATACAGTTGCGATTGCTCGCTCGGAGACGTTTGGCTGCGCCCAGTAGACAATCCCATTCGATATGCAGTTCGTTGCACTGTGTGTATGTGTTTGTGTGTGTGTGAGTGAGTCGGACACATCCTGACGTTCGAACTGAGGCATGCACGCATGCCGCACCTCACTCGAATATCATTCAAGTTCAGGGCAACACGAATTTTGAAGTCGACGTCGTTACAGTTGCCAGCAATTTGTCACTTGGTCACGTAGCTTTGGCTCAGCGTTTGCCTTCGCCAGGACCAGGACGACACTCGAGCCAAGATGGCAGCGGCACACTCCACGTGTTCGTTGGCAGCACAATTTACCGCACACACCCCCCACGCCAGCCCCGCGGCCCACTCTCTGCAGCAGCTGCACTACGCTAAGCTACAACTTTAACTTTATTACATGTTAATACCCTAACCTTGAAACTGAGCTGCAAATATCGCTGAGTTGTTGTTTATGTCGCTAAAATACTTTATGAACACTTTTGAGTGTGTGAGTCATGTTTGAGTTTATGAGAATTGAATAGAAGGGATGCAGAAAGATTTACCACGAAGTTATGCTAGGAAGCGTGCAACTTTGCTGCTTTGCATATTACAGTTAAAGATTCATTCATTCATTTATTCAGTTATTCGTTAGTTCATCTATACATTCATATATTCATTCATATATACATTTATATATTCATTTTCATTCATACATTCATTCACTCATACCTTCATTCATACATTCATTCATTCATACATTCAAACATTCATACATTCAAACATTCATACATTCATACTTTCATACATTCATACTTTCATACATTCATTCATAAATGCATTTATACATTCAAATATTCATTAATATACTCAATAATACATTCAAACATTCACACATTCACACATTCATACTTACATATACATACATTCATATATTTATTTATACATTCAAACATTCATACATTAATTTACTCACACATTCATTCATACTTTCATTCATTCATACATTCATTTATATTCAACATTCACACATTCATACATTCAGATATACATACATACATTCATTCATTCATACATTCATTCATTCATTCATACATTCATTTATACATTCATACATTCATATATTTATTTATACATTCAAACATTCATTCATTCATACATTCATTTACTCATACATTCATTCTTTCATTGATTCACACATTCATTTATACATTGAAGCATTCATTCATCTATACATTTCAATCATTCCATACTTTCCATCTTCCATAATTAAAACTGTGAATTGATCTGCATTCATTCCGCATTCAAAACACTTGAGCAAGTGCATTAAGAAGTCGACTTTTCAGCAGAGATACACACACACATACCCATACGTATAAAGAGCATTGCTAGTTTCTTCAAATGAATATAATTATCGCCTTGGCCGCTGTTGTGGCTGATAAGAAATTGAGTTATTGTGGCGATTAGGCCAATTAAAGGGTGTCGTCGTTGCAGTTGATAGGCTGTGGCCAGATCTTCCACTGGCTGCAGCTGAGCTGTGTGCCGGGCCGGTCTAGTTGCCCAGCCCACTTATTACATTAACTGAAGTGAAGTTGCGATCTCTCTGGGTTTTTGTTGCAGTGTATTTTGATTTTTGCCTGGCGGTGAATCGCGATACAATTGTCAGTTGGGGGTTTGGTCTGGGCTCTAGGCCAGGCAAGAGTTTCAAGTTCGTTGCTGGGATTTTTAGTGTCTAGGGAGTGCACGCACACACACACACACACACACGCACTAGAGACAGCTGGTTGGGACATTTATGGTGTGGGCGTCGCCTTCATTGTCAAATGAAAAATCGAACTGCGGCCCTTGGCTGGCCGTGAGTGTGTGGTCCATGGGCAACTTCATGATGAGCCCATGCCACATCATCATCATGATGTTGGGGAACTCGAAACTAGCTCCAGCCGTGTCCATTTCTATCACTTGTCGGGCATCAAAAGCCTTTTTGCCAACTCCCATGCGTGGCATTCGGGCATTTCTTGATTTGTTTATGCGGTTCGCCTCTCTCTTTCCCTCTCCCTCTCCCTCTGCCTCACCCACTGTCTCTCTCCCTCCCTGCCCTGGGTATATTTTTCTTATTTTACGTTTGGTGTTTTGTTAGGTTAGCCTTGGAGCGCTGTTCCTCCAATGTAAATATAAATGGAATGCCATTAAAATGTGTTTGCTCTCATATTTACCTTGGCGCCGCCGCATAAAGCCCTGGCATGTGTTATAACCTTTAACGCTGCATAAACAGCATAAATAAGCCGTAAAGCATGCGGGAAGGAGTCCATGTACAATATACATATATGTGCATTTGCATCTGCCCAGGTAATGCTGCTCGGCTTATGGCTCGTAAAAATATTATTGAGAAAGAAACAAACGGCATTGGCATTCGGCCAGTTACTACATGATTTACACATTTGCCGCCTTCTCTGATGGATTTCACAACTTTCGCTCTCGAAACGGCACTTGCGCTTCCGGCCACGGCAACAGTGCGGGCCAACAATGGGTTAAAGCCAAAAGAAACGGCGGAAGTCGTTACGAAAAGCCAAACGAAACGAAACGAAATCTAGTTGAAACGGATTGTTAATTTGTTTGCCATTTGCATTCTGTGCCTGAACTGTCTGTCTGTGTGTGTAAGTGTGTGTGTGTGTGTGTGTGTGTGTGTCTAAGGTGAGAAGAGCTTGCTTGGAATGGCCACAAGAATGCTTTGCACAGCTCGCGTCCAGTTTTGTGGTCAAGTGTCATAAAAGGTTGACCGCGCTGGCAGTTTAGAAAGTTGTACGCCCCTCGCCCAGCCACGCCCCATGGCGAGCAATTTACGGGGCGGCCCAGTTAACCCACGGAAACTGGTGCAAGGCATTCACTCCAGCCAGAACTGGAGCCACGCGGATCGGCACTCGCCAAGCGCCACTTTCCGATCGACAATCGCCTTTCACATGCCAACACGAAACTTGGCCAAAATGCAAAAGGCCCAACACTGCAGTTGACCCAAAAAGCAAAAAAAAAAAAAGCATTAAAAAACCAACAAAAATTGCACTCAATAATTATGAATGGCTCCTATAATAATTTCATTAATCTTGATGAAGTTCTGGGCACAGTTTAAATTGCAATTCAATTTAAATTCCTTTGCTTTATAAATGTTTTATGGGATTTTCAAAATTATATATCATTAATATTTCGATTATTATCATAGAAACAAACGGAATGAAACAGCAGCATTAACTGAGGCCAGAGACACCAGCAAAAATATCTTGTTAATGCTCTACATTGAGCCCGCCAGAGATAATGAAATAAAACTACTCAGATTTACATTATAAAAGAGAAGAAATATAAGTATACAAAATAGAAATGAAACATGACGATGAAAGTTAATGAATTCCAACAGTAATCCAATTTGAATTGAATTGGAATTCGAGTTCCGAAACTTGGGGTTTGTAAACTAGAAACTGGATTTTGGCCAATAAATTTTCATTAGCGAACAAAGCCTACTAAATGCATTTCTCTAATGACTCTTCCATGGGCGGGCAAAAAGTTTGATGCAATCCAAATAGTTGGGCGAGGGCAAGGCCTAATCTCTGACGTCAACTTGTGGCCCATTAAGACGGCGACAATCTGAGAGTATAAAATCGTCGCTTAAGTAGCGCGTTAATCGCTTTTAATTGCTAAATTACGCGCTGCCAATCGAGCTGCAGGCCCAAGTTCCAAGTTCCAAGTCCCATGTCCAGAGACGCGGCATAGATCGAGCTACCC